GACAGATGACTCTGGAGACCCAAGCCACGGGGCCTGGTCCTCCAAGCCACTGGGGAGGCACTTTTCTGTGTAGATAGTGAGTCTAGTAGAGATGCTGGGAGACCCCTCTGGGAGTAAGGGCCTCTTGTCTCCCGCTCATCCCAATACAATCAACAAGCAACTTTTAAACCACCGAAAAATGCCCCTCCACACATGATCCTGTCTGTTCTTGCTGTCCCTGGGAGGGAGCTGGGGAAACTTGATGGGCAGGGGTCTATCTGGCCCTTTCAGGGTCCCTGGAGCTCATATCCTGGCCCTGACTGATGCACCTGCTGCAGGTAGATGATACTCAAGGGGAGTTGGGAAGTCCCATGGTAGGCTTGCCATCTGCTCCCTTCCCTGGAGAGGCTGTGGCAGGGCGGGGCACTTCAAGAAATCTAAATTTAATTCCATCAGCTTCTCATCAGCCGAGATTCCAATCTCAGGCTGCGGAGAACAGGAGGAGCACCCATTGGCTGGCTACCTTCTAACTTTGACCTTGGAGGAGGCGTGTGTTTCTGGGCTAGACAACTTTTCAGTCCAGGAAAGAGTCTGTCACCTCCTCCTCAGTTACCCAGCCCTCTGGCCCAGGATGCAGCTTCAATATTAACGAGCTGAGTGAGCTCAGGGTTACTCCCAGAATACTGTTGGACTTGCTGCCCTGGTGGGGAGTGGCCTGCCAATGGGGCTAGGACGCTGCATGCCTTCAGCTCGGTTGATGCGTCCATGGGGACCCAACCCGTGGGTCTAGAGACCCTCCTGGAGAATTCAGCACACTCCTGATTTCCACAGGTACCCCCCCTCTGCATGTGGGTCCTCAGGTCTGGTCCCTATTCATGGTGAGTGGTGTTGGTCCCTGTTGCTGGAGGGAGCAATGAAACCAAGCCCCAACTCCCTCCAGCCCTCACTACGCTTGCCTCTTTCCTCTCTTCACCTTGAACTTCCTTTCCTGAACTTAGCCTTGTTCCCAGAAAACCACGGGCTTGATCCAAGTTGTACCCTGATCAGTTTACAATCTCAGTCTCACCAAAGTCAGGAGGACTGCTCCCTGTTTATCAGTGATAAATTCAGCCCCTACCCCTAATGTACAGAGGAAGGGACCTGCTCAGAGAGGGTCAGTGATCAGCCTAAGGTCTCACAGCCAGACACATGCAGAGGAAGGAGTGGGCCCCAGGCCTGGGGGCTCCTGGTACAGGGCAAGCCTGTCTCTGCCACCTGCCTTGCTCTATGGCTTCCTCACATTCACAGCCTCTGCTCTGCCCAGCATGGCTAGTAAGGGACTCCTGGGGGGGGGTCTTGTCTTTAGCTGAGTGTCTTAAATAGGGGCTGCCCCACACCCTGCACCTGTGCCTTTCGTGAGAAGCTCCTCTGGCGCCTCCTCCGCGGGGCTGTGGGCTTTCGACACCTTGCCCCGCCTGCCTCGCCACAGCCAGCCTCCCTCCTCCTCTTCCACTCCTCCCGGGCTCCAATCTCCCCCACTCTCCTGAAATTTCCTTCTCCCACGTCTCAGGAGAGTCCCCCAGGGCTGGGTGACTTGTCATTGCATGTCTTCCTTAGATTCTTTTCACAGTCCCATCCCTCAAAAATCTCTCAAAACATCGCCACACCTGCCCCTGCCCATGCCTTGTGGCTCGCCTGTGGCAGCCTCCTTTCCATTATTAGTTCTGGCGTGTGTATATGTGTGTGAGAGTGGCAGGTGTTCTGGCTCTTCTGGGGATACCCTATGGGGGACTTGGGACCCTGTGGAAAACTGGACGAACTCCTAAAGACCTGGAGGGGGTGCTTAACTTTTTTTTCCACTGAGAAGATCTTGGCTTACATAGAGTAACTGGAGAGGCATTCAACTATGCATCACACACAATCACACACACACACACACGAGCCATTTGAACCCATCCATATGCACTTGAATCTAGTGGCAACTGAGCTTAGGAAAATACATCAACAGGACAGCTGGGTGGTGATTATCAAGGAAGGCCCTCTGGAAGAGGTATGAGCTGGGCCTTTCTACCGTCCAACCAGGCAGAGATGGAAGCATTTGCTCCCAAGGTTGCCTGGACTGAGAATATATTCAGAGGAGACCTCACATGCCCTGAGCTTGACCCGCAGGGCAGATGTTTATAGCGAGTGGGAAAAGCAGCTGGAAGGCCTTTTGGAGAAGGGAAGAGAGGAAAGAGAGCTTGGGAGATGGAGAGGGGCAGAGAGGAAAAGGGCAGGGCATGGGAGTGAGGCTAGGGTGGAGGCGAACATGGGAAGGTGAGGGTGTGCAGTGAGGGAGAGGGGTGAAGGCCAGGCAAGGGCAGCCCACCAGTGGCCCCTCCTGCCCATATTTGCACCACAACACTGCTGGGACCATCCCACAACATCCATGGGTGAAACTTGGTCAGCCAGTCCCATTGCCATTCCAAGCCTGTTAGATTGCCCGAAAGGGAACTTGCACTGAGAGAAGCGGAGTTTGATTTGGGAATCGGAGGGTTCCCAGGGATGGGTTGTGGGGCTCAGCAAAGCTGTCGTGCTTCTCCAGGCCCCTGTTCTTCTGCTTCTGCCGGGCATGTTAGAGGGAGGGGATCTCAGTCCCTGTAGATGGGGTGGGGAGGGGAAATGTTCTGGGCTTCCCTAGTGTACTTGAATTGAAAACACAAAAGATTGGGATGCCTTTAGCCCTGTGTGTGCATTTTTCCTTGCTGGAGGGCACACAGGAGGCCGGTGGTTAGATCTCTCTGAGCTCCAGCTTTCGGTTTGTGGGAAGTAGGTGAAAGTGGCTCAGCTGCTTGGTTCTCAAGTTCTGGTGCGTGTGTGTTGGGGGAGTGGGGGTGAGTGGTGCAGGTGCTTATTGCGGCTGCTTCCTGCACCTTGTCGTGTCTATGGGTCCTGTGCTGACTGCCCACCTCTGCTTTTTCTCTATGAGACCTGGTTTGGACTGCACACACACAGACACGGACACATGCACACACGCAAACACATATGTATGCCCCTCCAAAATGCTAGAAGGAATCGATTGTTTGTAGCTGTATGTCTCACAGGGAGTGTGCTGAACTGAAAGAATTTTGATTGCCTGTCAGAAGGGAATGAGGCAACAGCCATCACCACGCCAAGACCATCCCAGGCCCCATTGTTCCCAAGTCCCAGCTTACTCATTCCCTAAACAGATGATTGGTTTAGTAGTCTGGAGCTGGTGGTGCCAGGACACACACACACACACACACACACACACACACACATGAGGAAGATGGGCAGTGGGGAGCTGGGGACACCTCTGAGAAGATGGAAGGCTAACATAGTGGGAGGAGAGGAGGGATGAGACTTGGGGGGAGTGTTGGCACAGCATCTTGGTGCAGATTCAGACAATGGGTCCAAACGCTCTCCATTAACCCCTTTTCAGTGCAGATGTCCCGTCTGTACCAGAGACTTTTGGGGCAAGTGTCTGGTCTCCCATGCTGAGCTGCTTAGAGAGATAGCTACATTGGCAGCTGGCTTGTCCCCACCTTTCTGGCCCTTTGCACACAGAGCATGTCAGGCTTCTTGTGTACATGTCAGGCATGTGTGTATGTGTGTGTGAGAGTATATGTGTACATGTTGAAGTTTGGGTCTTTCTAGCTCTCCATGCTATGCTGCTACCTTCGCTAATACTGATTGAGTGCTACTCTCCAGGAAGGCTACCTGAAGATGTCCTGGCTGCGCATATGTGTGGCTAGATGCAAGCATTGCTCTCTGAACTCTGCATCTCCAGACACTTCCCTAGCTTTAGCACATGCCAAGAGCCACGAACTCCAAGGATGGAGATAGACCCCCTGGCCTTGGCATTTTTGGCAACGCAACGGCTTCCCATGCTGCCTGGTGTCACACACGGCAGGCAGGAGGACCGTGGTGTCTCATGCCATGTCGGGGAGGACAGGGTACGCCATAGTGAGGGCCCTCATTCAACCCCAGCCCTGCCACTCTTCTGTCTCTGCAGCCTCAGGCAGGTTGCTCATGCTCTGGGCCTCAGTTTTCCCCCAATTCTATTCTCTCCAATAGAATGAATCTGCAGCCCAAGGTACTTGGTCAACTCTGTAGACCATTGCCAGCTCCACATCCATCTCTGATTCAGATAAGCTAGTATCATTGTTCCCGTGGCCTCCAGTGACCATGGGGGCTTCTCAGATCAAGCTTTCTAGAACTTCAACACTAACCTTCTTCTAGAGTCCAGTGTATCAGCTAGCAGCTGACCTGCATGTCCTCCCTTTGCTTGGCAGAACATCCTGCGTGGTCCTGTCTGCTCAGCTCACTTTTCCATGTGTTACAATTTTGCACACTGCCCACGGGCACCTGCTCCTGCTGCTGGGGTGCTGTGTGCCAGTGTCCCTAGTACATACCAGCAACATACATTGATACTTTCATTGGCAGCCACATCTTTCAACTTTCCAGTTGTTAAAAAGGCTCACCTCTGTGTTGGAAGTTAGAGCTCAGGGAACTCTGGGCTTTGAGGTCAAATCTCAGAAACAGGCCAGGAGTCATCTCTTACCTGCGATGTGAAATCCATGGCATGGAGAATTGCACCTGCTACCTGCGTGAAAGAGCGTGTTGAGGAGCTTGAAAAGGGCAAGGCGAAAGGAACATTTACATATCCTTGTGTGGTGAAATCCTCTGCCGGGGCAGCAGACGGTGGGGTCCTGCCTTCCACGAGTCACCAGCGCTTTGGGAGAGATCTCTTTCTGATAAGGCGATTACCAATCTTGCAGCCACAGCAATTCTGAGCACCCCTCCTGGAGCTAGGTGTGTAGTGTTTATCGTATTGTTGAGGCTCGTAAAGATCTTGTATGGCTGCAGGCGAGCCAAACCCTGCACGGGCATCGCGTTGGTGCTGACTGTGAGGGACCAAGCCCATTCTTTCTCTCGCCCTCCGCTATATAAGGGCGAGCCTCAGCACTTGGGGCTTAGAGGAGGGCTTGAGCTCCTTCTTGTTTTCTGTCTGCTTTGCTCCTGCTCCTCTCTCAGGCACCATGAACCGACAGTTCAGTTGCAGGTCCGGGTACCGCAGCAAAGGGGGCTTCAGCTCCGGCTCGGCTGGGGTCCTCAGCTGCCAGCGCAGGACCACCTCCACCAGCAGCTCCATGCGCCGCAGTGGCGGCAGTGGAGGAGGTGGAAGATTCACGGGAGGGTTCTGTAGCAGTGGGGGTGGCAGTGGTGGCTTTGGGAGCCGCAGCCTGGTCAGCCTTGGGGGCAGTAAAAGCATCTCCATGAGTGTGGCCAGAGGGGGTGGACGCTTTGGTGGTGGTGGCTTTGGTGGCGGCGGCTTTGGCGGCAGTTTTGGTAGCGGTGGTGGTTTTGGGGGTGGCGGTTTTGGCAGTGGAGGTGGTTTTGGGGGTGGTGGTTTTGGCGGGGGTGGTTTTGGCGGGGGTGGTTATGGGGGTGGCTTTGGGCCCGTCTGCCCCCCTGGTGGCATCCAGGAAGTCACCATCAACCAGAGCCTCCTGCAACCCCTCAATGTGGAGATTGACCCCGAAATCCAAAAAGTCAAGTCTCGTGAGAGGGAGCAAATCAAGACCCTCAACAACCAATTTGCCTCCTTCATCGACAAGGTGAGTGAGTGTCACCTGGCCTCTTGGCATTCGGGGCAGCCACAGCAGGTGTGGCTTCGAGCTCATGTTCTTGTGTCTGCATGACTAACAGCTCCTGGCTTTCCAGGAGCTGACTCAGAAATGCATTAGGGAGTGGTGCTAGCGACCACCCTAGCCTGAACGCGGGCTTCTCTGGTCTGTCAGCATGGACCATTGACCTTCAAGTCCGTTTCAGTCCCTGCTTGAGTTGCACTGTGAATCATGGTTGCTGAATGAAGCTCGGAGAACTGCAGCTCTCTGAACTTTCTAGAGAGTCCGTGAGAATCCTGGAAAGATCTCCCTATGGAGAATCCTGGAGCGATCGCCCATGAAATGTGACCTGGGGTTTGGTGGCAGACAAGATGCAGTGAGGCAGGGTGAGAAGGGAGACCTTCATGTTGGCATTGGCTACAGTTTATACATGTGTTTTACTTTTTCCCTAAATGAATATTTCCAAGCTCTGGGAAAACACAAAATCATCTCATTTAAAAAAAAAAATGAAATCTTTAACAATCTCAACCCAGATTTCTCCACAACAAATTTCCAATCTAAGTTCTGGATTTCCCCCATATATTTTCAAACCATGTGAAGGAATGCAAACTAATATTGATGGCACCCTACACCCTGTGCCCCCAATTGAGAGCATGTGTTTTTACTATCCGTATGTGTATTTCAAAGCATAGTTGCAATAATGAGCTTGGCCATTGGTGAGGTGCGGCCTGGCTGCAAGGTGGTCTTTGGTGTCCAGTGGCCATGGGGCTCGATTTCTGCAGCAAGAATGAGGGGGTCTCGTGCTCTTAGGTGCGCTTCCTGGAGCAGCAGAACCAGGTGCTGCAAACAAAGTGGGAGCTGCTGCAGCAGGTGGATACCACCACCAGATCCCAGAACTTGGAGCCCCTATTTGAAGCATACATCAGCAGCCTCCGAAACAGGGTGGACCAGCTGAAGAGCGACCAGTCTCGGATGGACTCTGAGATGAAGAACATGCAGGACCTAGTGGAAGATTATCGGAATAAGTAAGAGAGCCTAGTGGTGGTTGGGGAGAGGGAGCAACCCGCCTTCCTCAACAGTATGGGGTCACATGTGATCAAATCCAGAATTTAGGGATGTGCAGAGTTAGTTTTATTATTAACCCCAAACCATCTATTTTATGAGGACATAACAGAAGGACCCATAATGCCCTCTCCCTTCTCCCTCTTATTTCCATTTTTAAAACTTATTCTCCATGACAGTCTTGTAGGTATAGGGATTCCTCCCTTTTCTCCCTCCCTCCCTGTTTTCCCCTCCTGTCACTTTCTGTCCTGACTCATGCTGTCAGAGATTTCTGGAAAGTGAGCAGCAGAGCCTGTAAAGAAGTGTGCACCTATGTCTTTCCTTAGGCTAGAGGCAAATCCAGGAGCCATGTTCTTCATCTTCTTAGAAGTTGGAAATAGTTTCAAAGGTTTTGTGTCTCAGAAGTTGAGAGGTGCCTGAGCTATCCCATACTTTCACAAGGAGACCAGGTCAGGCCAGGTCATGTGGCCTTCAGACTAGAATGCTGGACTCGAGGCATCTCTTACCTGTGTCTGCTTCTCTGCAGGTATGAGGATGAGATCAACAAGCGCACGAGTGCAGAGAATGAGTTTGTGACCCTCAAAAAGGTGAGTGGATTCTGCAGGCTGGGACTCACCTGTGGGATAAGGAAGGAAGGAATGTGACTAGGGATGGAACAGAAAGAGGCCCTGATGTGGGGAGCCAGGCTGGGGGGAGGTGGGGTTGCTGAGGACAGCCTCACAGACTTGCACTCCCTCTTGGGGTACCAGGCTTCTTCATTGCCTTGGCACCTGCCACGGGTGGTAAGCGGGGAAGAGGTGGGTTCTTAATGGGCAGGCCAGAAGAGCGGAACTCTCCTTGGGTTGGGAAGGTAAAGAGAGGATCATAGACTCCACCTGGCCCGTGGCCAGCCAGAGGCAGCTGCCCGATGTCCTTGGTTTCCCTCTAGGATGTAGATGCTGCTTACCTGGCCAAGGTGGACCTCCAGGCCAGAGTTGACAACTTACAGCAGGAGATTGAGTTCCTCACGACTCTCTACCAAATGGTAAGCCTTTCCATTTTCACTGATTTCCTTTTTCTTTTTCATCTAAATGGGTGCACCTCCCTCTAAGCTGGGTCTTGTCCTAGCGCTGTGAGACATGCTCACCTGTCATGTGCTTGCAGGAGCTGTCCCAGATGCAGACCCACATTAGCGAGACCAATGTGGTGCTGTCCATGGACAACAACCGCTCACTGGACCTGGGCAGCATCATCGCCGAGGTCAAGGCCCAGTATGAGGACATTGCCCAGAGGAGCAAGACCGAGGCTGAGGCGCTGTACCAGACCAAGGTGAGCTGGATTGAGTGCACAGCCAGCTTCCCTGGGGTGTTGTGTCCTGCTACTTGGAGATCCCTCTTTATGTTTGGTGTGCCTGTCCTGTGCCCACCTCTGACTGCCACAATGCACCATCTCTAGTACGAAGAGCTGCAGGTTACGGCTGGTAGACACGGCGACAGTGTGAAGAACTCCAAGATGGAGATAGCTGAGCTGAATCGCATGATTCAGAGACTCCGATCTGAAATCGACAGCCTCAAGAAGCAGGTGCCTGTCCACTCCTCCTCCCTTCTAGGGCTCCTCTGTGTCCAGGTGGAGTGAGGATCAGGCAATGGCAGGCAGGGGGCTTTCCTGGTTGAACCTTGCCATACATGCCCAAGATTGCATTCCTTCCTATAGCTATTGGGATATCCTGAGTCAGACTTGGAGGAATCTGGGCTAAGAGCCACAAGGGGCTGTCGCAGTGTCCCTAAGGTCCTTCAAGGGAGTCCACAGGGGGCTTGAGTGTGTGGGCTGGTGTGTGGTCAGCCTCACAGGGCTGAGGAGGTGAACTGGGTGAAACATGAGGGCTTAATGTATTGGATTGTCCTGGCTCAGATCGCCAGCCTGCAACAGTCCATCGCCGACGCTGAACAACGAGGGGAGAATGCCCTCAAGGACGCCCAGAAGAAGCTCAATGAGCTGGAGGACGCCCTGCAGCAGGCTAAGGAAGACATGGCACGCCTACTGCGTGACTACCAGGACCTCATGAACACCAAGCTGGCCCTGGACATGGAGATCGCCACCTATAGGACCCTCCTGGAGGGCGAGGAGAGCAGGTGCAGAAAGGGGCTGGGGCAGTGTGACTGCCTCTTAGGGGCTTCCTTCCCTGCATGCTATGGCAGGAGACACAACCCTCTGTTGCTTCCTGTCCTGGGGGTGGGGCATGGAAGGAACTGGAGCAGAATGAGGTAGAGATCCAAGTTCCTCTTATTTATTTATTTATTTATTTATTTATTTATTTATTTATTTATTTATTTATTTTTCCCTTGTCTGGAATTTGCAATAGAGCAATTTAAACTTCACCTAGGCTGGCTCAGGTGTCACTTGGCCCAAAGCCAATGTCTATATGGTGACCCCTCCTCTCTCCTGGGACGCCTGCTGAGGGCTGGAGGTGGTGGTCGGGGGCGGGGGGGAGCACACGGAAGAAGGGGGGAGCTCTGTGAAGGCAGGGTGTCAGCGGGATTTGCTTTTTTCTTCTGCAGGATGTCTGGCGAATGCGCGCCCAACGTGAGCGTATGTAAGTACTGCAGTTGCCTGGGGAGGGGTGAGGGGGCGGCGCGTGCAGGTGTGTGTGTGTGCGCGCGCGCGCGCGCTCGGGTGGGTGTCGGGGTGAGGGCAGGATTGAAGACACCTGCCGCTCTCTTTGGCAGCGGTGAGCACCAGCCACACCAGCATCAGCGGAAGTAGCAGCCGGGGAGGCGGCAGCTACAGTTCTGGAGGCGGCGGCGGCTACGGCTCTGGCGGCGGCTATGGCTCCGGCGGCGGCGGTGGCAGCTACGGCTCCAGAGGCGGCAGCGGCGGCGGCTACGGCTCCGGCTCCGGGGGCAGCAGTGGAGGCCGCAGAAGCGGCTCTGGAGGCGGTGGCGGCAGCTCAGGCGGCAGGGTTTCTGGAGGAGGGAGCTCTGGTGGCAGCTTCGGCTCATCGGGAGGCCGGGGGTCCAGCTCTGGGGGGACCAAGACCTCCGGAGGCAGCTCCAGCGTGAAGTTCGTGTCTGCCAGTTACTCCTAAGGAATCCCGGGCAGCAGCCCTCTCCACTGCTGTCCTTCTCCGCCAACACCCCAGTCTCTCGCTGGGCGGAACCCAGGCCGATTGCTCCAGCCTGATTGGAGGAAGGAGTTTGGCTCGCTCCAGCCTCTTGTCTAGTCCCCGCAGCTCACTGTTTCCCTGCATGCTTCCCCACGTGGTTCCCCTACCCGTGGTAGTCTCAGGACCCAGTTGCAGTACCTGCTCACCCCGGCTTCGTTCTTAGCTCGAACCTGCGTTCAGAGTCCAGCACCAGGCTGCTTAGGACGGCCGGAGCCCCGTGGCTTTCTAGCTCCTTCAGCTAGCTCAGGGCTACTTTTGGTTCCTTACATCAGGTGCAAGTGAATTGTTTGCATTCTGCGGAGAGGTCCCCAAGCCCCGCCCCCTGTCCCCTCCCCCCAGTACAGTACCCCTGTATCGTTGCAATAAACTGCATTTGAAATTCCACTCTGAGTCTGTCTGCTTTGTCGGTGGCTTGAAACTACTGTCCGGGGTAGGTACTGGGTGGGAGTGAAAGAGGATGCCGGAGTCACGTGGCATATGGGAGACTTGGGGCACAAGAAGGCACAATGGAGACTGGAGGCTGCTTAGGACGCACTGAGTAAGGATGGAGCCGGAGTAGACAAGGGGCGGGTCCCAGGAGGAAGGGAGAAACACGGGTGGTAGGTTGTATTCTTTGGACAAGGCTGTGCTCACCAGAGCAGTGAGCAAGCAGGTGAGAAGCAGGGAACTTATTGCATGGAGAAGTCAAAAGCCACCGTGGATGAGCTGGTGAAGAGGAGGAACTCAGGTGACATGGGATCAGCAGCTACTAAGGCAGCTGGAAGGCAGAGCCAGGCTTGGGGAGCGTAAGACCCAAGGGAGGGAGCAGACGGTAGGATATGCCACTTCCTTCTGCCACCATCAAGAGCACTGCTGATTCACAGGACGGCAGCAGGGGGTCAGATGTGTGGATGCATGGATGCGTGGACTCTGCTGTGCTTGGGCCTGAATTGTACCTTCTCTGTTTTCCTAGTGATGTGATAACATGCAAATTACAGTCCTTAGAGTTCTTCACATTCAAAAAAAATAAAAAGCATTGAGAGAACGAGGGGGAGGGAGCAAGTGCAAGCGAGAGAGAATCTTTTAACCATTGGTTCATTCCCCAAACACCTGCAACACTCAGTTCTCCACCAAGGGTGGCAGGACCCCGAGTCCTTGAGCCATCTTCTGTTGCTTCCCATCTTCCACAGTAGGAAGCTGGATTGTGAATAGAGCCAAGCCTTGAACCCAGCCTGCCAATGTGGGGTCCAGAAGCGCCAAGTGCTGCTCAATGGCTGAACCTAAGGTATACCCCACGCACCTCAGTTTTCACATCTTCCAAATGGCACAATAACACCACAGCGATGCTTTCTTCATGGGGATTCCTGTGTGTCACACAGTAGGGAGCAAGACTGAGCACACAGTAGGCATTCAGTAAACACCTCTTCAAAAGTGATGGTGAGGACGATGATCATCTGGCTGTTGTCATCCCGTGTTGCAGTCCGCTCGGTATGTGTCTGTGCCAGAGTAGATGGGGCAGGCCATTGACCATCGGTTGTAATGAGACATCCCATAGCGAATGTTGGCATTGGAGTTTCAATTTTCTCCCAATTCCAGCTTGTTGCTATTTCAGTTCATACAGTTCATAGGCAGCAAGTAATGAGGGCTTAGAAGTTGGGTCCCTGACACTCACGTGAGAGTTGGAATTGAGTTCAGGAATCATTTTTGGCCAAACTCCAGCTGTTTGGGAGCATTTGAGGAATGAACCCAATGGATGAGAGTTCTGAAATTCTGCCTGTGACTTTCAAAGGCATCTTTTAAAAACAGATTTGTTTATTTAAAAGAGAGAGTTACGCTTCCATCCTCTGGTTCACTCCCCAAGTGGATACAACAGCCAGAGCTAGGCCTGTCTGAAACCAGGAATCAGCAGCTTCTACCGGCATCATGTAAGTGCCGGCATCCAAGGACTTGGGCCATCCATCCTCTGTTGCTTTTCAAGGTCATAAGCAAAGAATTGGATCGGAAGTAGAGCAGCCAGGACTCAAATCAGTGCCTATATGGGATACCAGTGCCACAGGTGGCAGATTTATCCAATATGCCACAGCACTGGTCCCTCAAACAAAATTTTGTAATTACAAATGTAAAGCCAGGAAATGAAGAAGACAAAGGAAGAGGTAGACCTCAGCATGCTCTCTGACTGGAAGCTTCCATCAGCTTTTCTGAGGATCAGTATTCTTGGCTTCTAGTGAGGAAAAGGCTTGTTGGCTTAAGGGTTAAGCAGGGCTGTCAGACAAAAGTCTTGTGCAAGCACCCCTGGATGCACTCTGTCCTCTCCCCCTTGCGTAGGGCCCCAGAACCCCCTACTCTACTTTTTTCTGCCTACAGTTGGAGAATACAGGGCACCACAAAGCTCTATGATCAATTACGCCTTTGTCCCTGCAGGTTGAAACTGGGCTGGATCCTTGAACTTTCCCAACTACTGAGAAAGCTGTTTAGGTCATTGCCTCAAAACCTTGTGAAGTTAACTAAACCCAGGAATTGAACTAACTCCTCACTCAACCCCTCCTTGTGGGTACACCCAGATAGCACACCCTTGTCTTGGGGTCCTTCCCTAGGGAGCATGTAGCTCTGCACCCAACTGTCCCTAGTACTGGCTGTTACTGATCACCTTGGCCCATAGTACTTTCTTGCTTGGACTTCCAACTGGCCTCCTCTGGACAGTTTGGGGCTCTCCATTGCTATCAGGTGACTCCAGCCATGGGTTCCAGCCAGACAAAACCTTTCCACTGATTTACTCCCACCTGGACTGATGTGAACACTTGCATCACACCACTTGTTGTGATGGAGTAGAAAAGAACAGGAAGTTGGATTCAGAGAATCTGGTTCTATTTGGCGGTGTTAGTGAAAGGGCAGGCAGTGAACAATGGTCCACAGCTTATGGGACGTGCAGGTCCTTGGAAAAGCCTTAAGTTGTTGTCTAACAGGTAAGATGAGGATGAAGACATTTGCTTGTTGGACATCAAGAAGACAAAAGCACGACGTGCTCTGTGTATTGCTGTCTCAGACGTGAAGGACACAGGTGACAGAAGGCAGCTGGGTGCTAGTGCATTTAAAGCAATGGCAATTAGCTGACCTGGAGGGAGGTGGTCCTCTCTCTCCCCCGTTGTAGAAGGACTGACCTCTAGGGCCAACAGGTGTAGCACCATTGTCAGGAGAGCATGGTTGGATACTCAGTGATGCGTTCTTGTATTCTGGCTCATATTTTCCAGATCATGTCTCAGGTTACAAGTTGGTTTCACCTCTGTGTCAGGGTCATTCCTGTTCATCTTGTCAGACTTGGGTTTCCTTGGTCAGGTCAGATGTGAAGTAGACACCAGGATCAATGGGGTGAAATGGAGAAGCCTGTGTGAATCAGCATGCAACAGAGAACTGGACTTTGGAAGGTCAAGTGTCCCAGTGCAGCCGTATTAAAAAGACAAGAAAGGGAAAGCATTGGTTCCGTTCTGGCACAAACACTTCTCCAGCACCAGCACCAGCACTGTCAGTGACTGGGTCAGACATTGGGCTTGCTAGGATGGGTGAGCCATGGTTTTGCTTTCAGAGGTAGGGTCATCATGTGTCCAGCCACCTACAAATATGCACTAAAGTGTGGATGTCTACAGCTAAGTAGCCTGGCTGCCAAGGTACACTTTTATGAAAAGGTCAAAACCCCTTGTTGAAAAGAGTGTGCCATCTTCTCTTTGTACAATCAACATGTTCCTTGGTAACTCAGCAGATCTGGAATCTGCAAAAATGCTCTGTGTCTGCATGCAATAAGGAACTGGGTTCTGTGTTTGATCAACATGAGGCAGGAAGGTCAGCCCCATCGAGGTCCAATCTACATGTCAGAGACAGACTTCTTCTCATGCTGACAGACAAAAACTTGCAGGGTTATGAAAAGCACTGACAACAGTATGGCTTCTCTCCTTTAAACAATATTTATTTTATTTATTTGAAAAGCAAAATTACACAGAGGAAGAGATCTCCCACCTACCAGTTCCCTTCCCAAATGATTGCAAGGCTGGGGCTCAGCCAGGTGGAAGCCAGGAGTCAGATTTTTTCAGGTTGTCCACATGGGTGTAGGGGTCCAAATACCCAGGACCATTCTCTGCTGCTCTCTCAGGTGCATTGGCAGACAGTGGGAGTTGGGACTTGAACTGGTGCCCACACGTGTTGTTGATTTATTTAACCCTTAATGTCACAGCAACAACCCCAATATTGCTTCTTTAGGGCATTTTGTGGCTGGAGACTTCCTTAGAACATTCGGGGAGAGAAAAAGAATTACATATGTTCTACTGTATTTTGCTCTGTGTGTGATGTGTCGAAGGGTGTTGGGGAAAAGTCTAGCGAGAGAGAGAGATAGAGAGATCCATGGAGGACATGAGGAAGCAGTACTTGAGGTTGGAGAGATGTTGGGAGGTGAACACTTGAGGTAGGGGCAAGGGAACTGCAAGCTGAGAAGCTTCTAGAATCATGGTCAGCATTCAGCAAGTGAAAGGGATGGAGTGGGCACCAGGGGCCTACACCCTCTTGAAGAGGTGTGGCCAACAGGGGACAGCCCCACGGAAGACCAGAAACGCTGTCTATGATGAGAGGCTTCCTGAAGCTGCCACTGGCTGCAAGGAGAAGAAAGGAGAGTCAAGATGCCTATGAGAAGTGCCAGTGATTTTTAGCTGCTTGTTGAACAAACGGATTCCCAGGGTGCCCTGGGACACTCTGTGTCACCATGTTCGCTCCTCCTCTTACCTGCTGGAGGGGATGTGGCACTCCTGCCAATCCACTGTGGGGAACATGGCACCCGTCTTAGTCAACTCGTGACCTCTCCAGGTTCAAGTTGGGCTGCTCCCCGCCCTAACTGGTGCCCACGCCCCATTTCCAATCTGTCAATGAGCCCTGCTTGTTCTGTCTGGAAGTGTGGTGGCCTCTGCTGGTACAAATATTCCTTTACACTCAGCGACGAGACGACCAGTCACAGCAAGGCAGCAGCACTTGGGGACAGTGAGACCGGGACAATGGTGTTTCAGGAAGCTTTGGGGGAGTAATAGACAAAGAGAGGCCTTCTCCAGGTTCTATTCATCAATTGTATATGCAAGGAAGCTGCTGTAGCACTCATGGGCTAGGGCCTCTGACAGTGGGAGACGTGACGCCTCTGGATAAGCAGCTCAGTCCCCAACATTCTGAAAGTTCAGGAAAGCTCCTTTGGCAGGTGGGGTCTGCAATGGTGGGGTGAGGGTGGGACACCAGCTTGCTGTTGCCTCTCCTTTGGCCAAGGATATCTTCAGGCTGCGATGGAAACTTGTCTTCCA